AGCTTTATTGGTATTTATTTGTTGTATACAATGTTTTTGTCATAATATATTTATATACACATATGTAATTTGATATTTTTGTCTCTTTCCATTTCCTGCAAATAGCATGGTTTCACATTTAATTTATGGTTGAGTAATTTTCTTTTTTTTTTTCCTGTTTTCTTTTGTTGCAGGAGCCAGAGTCTTAGCATAAAGCCCAGGTTCTTGCTTCTGACTCCCAAATGCTGAGGTCATAGGTATGCACTACATTATCTTTATCCATCCATCTGCCAGTGAGTTATGACTCAATCCATAATTTGACTATATGTTTTCACAGTTTTGAAAGAAACCATTGTTACCATTCAGTACAGTTACCCCAGTGTCCTAGAGTATTGCCCCCCTTCCAACACTACAACCCAGCAACTTTGAAAACGCAAAACCAGATGGGATCACACTCTTTAAACTCAACCCCCTTAACCTTAGGATCAAATCTCAGCTCTACCTGTGGCTTATACATTCAGATGTGGCCACAGCCTCAGCCCTTGCTATTTCCATGCTAGAAGCAGCTTCACGAATTTGCCCTTGCATTTGGATCTAGAGTTCCCAAACTGAGAGCTGTTAGCTCAGACTCTGCCGTCAGCACCACCAATTACCTGCCTGCAGCTCGATCCTTCCAGCTAGACAAAATTTGTCCAGTTCCTTGGAAGTCCCTATTCCATGTCACTTAGGCCTCTGATATTCTCTTTGTCCAGAATATGCTTTTGCCTGTTAGTTAACAGATTTCTGTTCTCTTGGGCTCTCTGCTAGGAAAAGTACTTCTGCAGACAGTCTTTTCTTTCATTTTTGTTTTGTTTTGCTTTGTTTTATGGTTTTTGGATGGGGGAGGAGGGATTGCCATGGCATGTGGGTTGTCAGAGGACAGCTTGCAGGAGTCACTTTCTCTCTGCCCACCATGTGAGTCTAGGGCCTAGAACTCAGGCTGTCAGTGTGGCAGCAAGCACTTTAACCACTGAGCTATCTGCCAGCCCTGTTCTGTTCTTTTTCTTAAGATTTATTTATTTATTTATTTATTTATTTATTTATTTAT